GCTCTCCAAAAATTTTCTTAAATTAATGGCGATTTCGCCATTAAATTAAGAAAAAATGTACTTCAGCCCTTCCTAGAATCTAGAAAGTCGCCATAAAAAATACGGTAAATCGCCATCGACTGAAATTCATGGCGAATTTCTTGATTTAATGGCGATTTCGGGCTGTTTTTCTTTTGAGTGTAGTTACAAGAAAATATAGTTCAGAAATTCCGAGAGAGGGCGTCTCTGTTAAGATAACAGCTTACATTGACGTGTAGAATTACATTTTACATGTAATAACGTTATTCAAATATTCACACTAAAGATGGCGAATATAACTTAATTTGTTGATTCAAGTTCCTAAACGTGAAGGAGGGAGGGCGTTTTCGGTAGATAGTACTTTCAGGAAAAGGCGCTAGAGGCGCCCTGCATTGGGCGCTAATTCAAACAAAATCAAATAACACAGGTACACAGCCAAAAATTTCCACGAACCATTTCAAGTTTTCCATGATATTTGGATGCTCCTGAGTAAAAGTCCCATACAAAATTATTTTCCATCACCTACAGGTTCCGCGGTATGGCTAAGAATACAAAAAACCGGTGTTGGTCGACATTTTGAATTACGTGGCCTATATAATTGGACTAACCATTATTATTATTTCGGTAGGACCTACTCTCAATACATCACGGCATTCCTAAAAAATAATCCCCATTGTGAACCATTGCCCATGTCTTTGGAATTCGACGCCAAAGTTGAAAATCCCAAAATTGTAGAGATTTTTCTGATGTAAAAATAATTCTGAGGATTAAATCGTGAATGGAAGTAATTTTAACTTTTCATTGTATCTATTTTTCATTGTATGCTTTAATTTCGGTTTAAAGCGTTTTCATGAGAATATTTTTTATTGGATTTATTATACTAATAAAACCGATTTTTTTATTTCATTATCTACTCCTAAATGTTGTCAAATTTTAAAAAAGTCAAGGCATCCTACAGAATGGGAGTAAACATTTACATTTCTCTATGTATGTTCAGTGAACGTACATATTTTAGTTTCTTAGTTCTAGAGGTTGCCATGACTTATTCAAAATTTGACAACATTTAGGAGTAGATAATGAAATAAAAAAATCGGTTTTATTAGTATAAGAAATCCAATAAAATGTCCTCATGAAAACGCTTTAAACCGAAATTAAAGCATACAATGAACAATAGATACAATGAATAGTTAAAATTACTTCCATTCAAGATTTAATCCTCAGAATTGTTTTTACATCAGAAAAATCTCTACAATTTTGGGATTTTCAACTTTGGCGTCGAATTCCAAAGACATGGGCAATGGTTCACAATGGGGATTATTTTTTAGGAATGCCGTGATGTATTGAGAGTAGGTCCTACCGAAAATAATAAAGGTTAGTCCAATTATATAGGCCACGTAATTCAAAATGTCGACCAACACCGGTTTTTTGTATTCTTAGCCATACCGCGGAACCTGTAGGTGATGGAAAATAATTTTGTATGGGACTTTTACTCAGGAGCATCCAAATATCATGGAAAACTTGAAATGGTTCGTGGAAATTTCACAAAGTTTAATTTTGTGTTCCTGTGTAACAATCGGCTGGAGCTGATCCTGATGCAACAGTACAGACGATTGTAAAAGGATTCGCTTTATTCATATAGCGTTCTTGTCGAAAACAGTGTAAAAATCTTCACAAACAACAAACGAAAAATATGACATTCATCAAAAACGAAAAACATATAAACTAGGGTACTACTTTTTACCCTTATGTTTCTTAACTTTTTTAATCTTACACTAAAATCCTCCCTTAGCTCCCTTTCGGTTGGGTGTAACTACACTGGAGTCATCCTTATATTCTAACCGATTTGGATTTATCTGCAATGGGAAGAGAAATAGAGAGTCGTTGGAGTCTTCATCTGAAAAAAAGATGTCATTGGCATGGATCCTACTACGCTGCGGAGGATTCTGCTGTGGTGAGTTCATTTTCCTTTTGCACTCGGTAATCACACTGTCATCTCTGTATTCCAATTTATTTGGGTTTATTTGCGATAGGAATATAGTGTCGTTGGAGTCTTCATCCGCTGAAAAAAAAATGTCATCGGCTGAATCTTTGTGATCATCTTCAATTTTTGGTTGATGCGTTTCCGCTGCTTTGCATTCAGCTAAACATTTTTCAGCTCGTTTTTGCATATCCTCTGAAACCTGAATTGGTTTGTCGGAGGCTGTTCGGAAGCCAACGAATTCTTCTTCCTCAGGTGTTTTCCTTAGAGGAGATTCCTTGTATTCCTCAACCGAATTCTCGGGGACATCCATTTCAATTAGCCATTCGTTGATTGGGATGTTATCTAATTCCACCGAGATTGTCTTTGGTTTAGATTTAACATTTAATGTAATTTTTTCGGTGCTGTAATCTTCCACGTACGAGTCCGTTTCAAACCAATCTTCGTATTTAATGTCTGTAATTATAAAAAGATTTTTTTGGGACTGCTTATAGTGTTATCAATTGTTTTTTACCCAATCGAGAGTGAGAAATGATGGTTGTTTGCATAGTATCGCCAAATAGATTGTCACCGAAGGTTCCTAAAAAATAAGTGTAGAGATATGAATGCGTTTCCTCAAGTTTTAGTATATTCCTTACCTTGAGGTTTAAAACTACAGATTTGGAAGACATTCTGGAGTTCATCGTTTAGTTTCTCTATTTCGGTATAGGTGCATTCAGAAGAAGAATTGGTGTCTAAAAGACCGTTTGGGGATTCGCGGGAACAAGAGGGTCTCTCCGAATCCTGCCTTGCCTTCGATGGAAGATCTATGTTGGGACCAGAGGCTGTGCTGGCGGATGTTGAAGTGGTATTAAGATCCTCCTGCACCGAGAGGCCCGATGAGCAGCTCGGACGATCTTGCACTTCGTTTCCCACGATCAAACGGAGATCCTCTTTATCGGGGAACCTCTTCCTGCTGTAAGTTTTTATTGTTTTCTTGCGAAATCGAAACCACGGCGGCGACTCGCAGGGGTGCTCATCCTCGTCTTCCACATACGTGGGAGATGAGCAGAAATCATGCCGGATGTTCTCGACCACCTCTTCGTGCGTAGGACTGCTTTGGGCTAAAATGAGGTACTCCAATGGGACAAAGTCACTGTTGTCAAACACACTCCGGCTGTGATCTTGATTGCGTCCCACTCTCAAGCTATTCTGGCGATCGGCTTGGTATAAGTTGACCACTTCAGCCATTATATTACCAGACAATCCTCCATTTCCTGGCTCATTCACTGGGGCCGGGACCTCATCCTGGTCGGCCTCGCCCATCAGTCCCTGCAGGGCGGTGCGCAGCTGACTCTTCCGGAAGCCACCGCCTCCTCCGGAACGACCACTTCCAGAGGATTGCTTCTGCGCGGGTTTTGCCTGTGCCGAAGTGCTGGGCATTTCCACGTTCCCGGAGGCAGTTGGCGCCTCCAGTGGCTTCTCCTCGTCCTCATCGCTGGCCTCCAGCTTGGTGCAAAAGTCCGGAAACTCCAGGCACTGGACGCCCTGAACATAGCGCTTGATTAGGGCTCCTTCCTTCTTGTCCGCCACGAAGCTCCGGCTCTCTCCGCCATCCGCGTCACAATCGATGATGTCCACCGCGCGCAGCGGGTCCGTGTCCTGGAACTGCTCCAGCTCGTTCTCCGGCACATCGTTGCTGTCGATTTCCTCGATCACGACCTCTTTTGAATCGGATTCTGCCATTTTCCGCGGATTAAAAATAGGTCCAAAGCCAGTGTTGCTAGCCAAACAGAGCAAAGCAACTATCGATTACACTCACTTATAATCGATAGCTAATAATCGCAAGCTTTAGCACGATCGATAGTTGGATTTCGATAGGCAGTAATACGCCGAAAGCAATCGATAGGCTAAAGACGAGTGCAGGCTCACGGAAGTGTGATTCCCCTACGATAGTTGACAGTCACAAGCTGATGTGTTGCAAATCAGTAATTTCTTCAAAACAAAGCAACAAATTGTCCAAATATGGAATGTAAGCCTTTTGCTTTGCTGCTTGCATCTCTCTTTATTTTAATGTATTTCCGTATAGCAAAATTTTAAATTGTGTTGTCCGTAATTTTTTTTGTTATATTAGTTAGGGATCTGCCATAATTTTATTGTTTTGTTGGGCTAACATAGGGTTTTTGGGTTTTTTTAATTAAATGAAATTTTAAATGCAAGTTAAAATATTTCAAAATCCTCGGTTTTAATTAAATGAAATTTTAAATGTAAGTTAGAATATTTCAAAATATTTCAAAATGAAATTTTGAATGTAAGTTAAAATATTTCAAAATCCTCGGTTAAAGTTTTTGAGACGCTCTAAATATTTTTAGAGATATCGTGTCCTAGCGCCAACGCCTACCGAAAGATTACCGGATAACAACAAAAATCATAAGAACGCTACACAATGATCAAATAAGTTAAATTAACTTGGGTTTAACTTGGAGTAATTTTTTTGCACTGTGTAGGTGTAAAAAACGAGTGGGGCCTGTTTTATGGATATTTTATTATTAATGCCGAGTTCTGAAAAACTAATTTCGGTCATTTAAGACTAGTTTACTGTTAGACTATTTTTCAGAATACCCTTAAACTTTTCTATACTGAACAGAGTTACAGTCGTTAATTTAGATACTCACCCACCACAAAATTTGAAAAATTTGGATAACTAATGCCGCCTTTGTGCAGCATTTTAACGATTTTTTAAAGTGGTTTTATGTTAAGCATTTAATTTTAAAGTTTCTTATACAATTTTATTTTCATTTTTAAAACTAACTGTGCACTATTTATGATGTTGGATGTAGGCATATTGGCGTATAATATTTCTAAAAATATGATTAACACTATGTAACATTAAACAATTTTTTTTGCACAACAGGCTCACTATTACCCGACCAGCCATATCTTATCACTCCTTACTGATAAGCATTGTTTCAAAGATTACAACAATTGCCTCAGTCGGCACATGGGCGAGGCACAGCTCTAACTGGTCAGAAAAGGTTCCATTCAGTACGAAAAAGCCAGCGGGTGAAAGAAGGTAACGCTGCAGAGTGCGGTTGTCATCAAAACTATCTTCAATTAATCCCTAATTTACAACGCCCAATCGTAAAAACTTTCTACTAAAACGAGTGCAAGCTAACAAAAAACAATATAATTATCGCGGAACTTTGGTTTTGGAAACAAAAATTAATACCTAAAGTTAAAGAATTTCAGGAATGACGGGGTATTTGTGCTTCGAGTTACGGCCAACTTTTTATCTAATCACAGTGCCTTAAACTATGTTAGCTTTACCAAGTTTAAAAATTGGGGCGCGGGTCCACAATGTTCTTTTGTGTATTTTACACCTGACTCATTTTCCTATGTATCACCAATCGCAAGGTATCACAATTATCAGTTGTATGGTATTACCAATCTATATAGGACAAACTACAGCAGTACTCTGCGGATCTCATATAAACTGATAAACGATATCGAATGTATAAAGTATATATATAAAGTGGACTTGACTCATGAGCGTTTACAGTACTTTATTTAAAAAAAATGATAACAGAATATTTGCGAGTGACGTCACCCTTACGCCCCGTTGAAAAGGTAGTAGGGAAGTGAGATTTATTAGATAAGTCGAATTTATTTTAATACCCTGAAACTGGGATGCCATATCATTCAAAATTTCAACCTAAGTTGTTCTTTATATATAAGAGCAGCGTTTAGTAAATGTGCTTACCAAGCTTAAAATATCTGGTTGTATTAAAAATAGATATATAAGTTAATATTTATTTTTTGATTGACCTGAATTACAGAACACATAAGTTTAAGAACCACCCAATGACTAACACGATAGATTGCTTTTACACTAAATAAACATTGACAAATCCATTGATAAGACACCTGCGATAGGAAGTTGCAGTGAAGTGGGTGCGATTGCTTCCCGCTTATATTAGAGGTATATTTGAAACAATGGCGCTATCACACTTATCGGGTCAGGGTCAACTCAGAATTTATGAGTAAAATGTATGAGTAAAAACTAATTTCTTGTTACCCGATCACTGTATTCTCTAGCTTCACAACGAAATTGAAATACCTGACCATGAAATCGAAACAACTTCTAGCAGCAGCTGTCTGCCTAGCTGCTGCCCTAATTTTGGGGACACAGGCACAGGAGAATGCAATGTTGCAAATTCCCCCTTCACTGGTCGAGTGCTACAACACGTCATTCTTCATGAACCGGGATAATCGTCTGCCAGCCAATATGGACACGCTCATCTCGCTTATCGAGAAGGTGGAAAACAGCTACGCTGGAACTTCGGGGGTGCAAGCCGATATTCGAACTGTGGCGGTGTCCTTGCTGCATCGTTTCCGACAGGATGGCATTAAAAAGGCCGCTGGAATTAATGCCGCTGATGGCGTAATACCGTACAGTCCAACGGGTTTCCAGTTTCCCAAGTTCAAAATTTTGCTATCACGTTTAATTCCGGGAAACGCCAACAGCTTTCCCAACAGTTCGTTGACAAGTGTGGAACGGTGTTCCCTCCATTTTATGCTATCAAGCACTTTTGACACGAGATCGCGGGGTGATGAGAACAACGTGTGCAACCAGCTCTCTCAGTATCGAGCCCAGCGACTGCCGCGGTCCCTAAGGAAGGACTATGACAACAACTTCATTAGCGATGTTGAATGGCTAGAGACACGGCAGAAACGAGGACGATCTTCCATCTCTGCCTCAAAGTACGAACAGTTGGGAGAATTGGACTATGAATCCGACTGGGCCTATGCCGGTTCTGAAGGAACTAGCCAGTGCCCTGTGGAGGATGGCCTTGTTCGGACGCGCTGGGGAACGGTTTCAGCAGGTACTTTACATTTACTTTTACACTGACTTATTTAAAGTTTAAATCATTGTTATAAAGTAAACATTATTGTCTAGTTTAACCTGGTAATGAATTGTAATTTCAGGTACACTAATTGCCGGCATCGCAGCTGGCGTCCAGCAACAGACAATCCAATTGACTACCCTGTTGGCCCTTTCCTCTCAGAGACGTGCACGTGGTCGCAGTCAGTCTCAAACAACCAGTACCATCGACAATAGGTGGGCGGCTACTTTGTCTGGGGACTTGGCGGAAGTAACGTTGGTCCAGCTTCCGGCGTCGACCACTCCAGCTTCTGTTGGAGCTACCGGCGGGTGGAATGATACGGTTCTGCCACATTGGTACTTTTTGTCGCAGCGCACCAACCTTGAGGCGACTGATGCGGAGATCCGGGGCGGCCTTGATGGGTTGATTCTTGCAAAAAATGTGGCCAGTTGGAGAACTCAGGCATCCAGCCTTAAACTTTCTCAACTATTACGCATGTACTACTCCACAAACGGGGTCCTCAGTTCGGGAATCAATGCCTGCAGTAGGCAAAGCCAATTCACAAATGTGGCACCATCACAGGAAATGGAGGACCAGACTAGCGCCTTTGCAGCACTATTGGATCGGGAGATGCAATTGCGTGTTACCCTCCAGCCGGTCGTTATTTCTCAGTTTGCCGGTAACGCCACCGCAGCGCTGGTAACTTATGTGCGTAAGTAAACTTTATTTCATTATTATCGCGGAACCACCTTGCATTAATTAAAAGTATTAAAAAGTACTTGCATATTTTCTAAAAGCATTTTAAATTCCATTTGTTGGTGCTCGTTGCATTACGATTTGCCTTTCCTTTGACTCCTCCTTCTCCAGCACAATCGTTAAACGATGTCTCCTGTACGGCGACAACCAATCTTGACTTGACGGATGTCATTACTCCCATGACTAACCTATATATTTTCTTGGATACTTCTTGGCAGTATAGCACCATTGTTGACTATGTGACGTAAGTTTTTTATGCGAGTTGCAGATCCTCATATAATTCAAATATTTTTCAGTTATGTTATCCAGCAGTTAAATGTGCATCCCTATGCCAGCACAGTCACCATGCTTTCGGCACATGATGGGTCGATCATCGTGAACACCACGAACTATATCACCGATGTTTATCAGCAATGGAATGTCACTACGCAGGCTTTATGTACGGAAGTTTTTACAAGTTATTGGCTTTAGCTAACATTTCGTTTCTATAGATACTCAGGGATTCAATCTTCCTAATGTGCTGCGAACGATTCAGAACCTTACCCAGAACCTAATGAACGAGGAAAAAACTAATTCCAGTTTAAGTGGGCACTCCTTGGTGGCTCTAATCATTCCAAACCAGTCAACCGTTAATGATGGCGACTCCAGCTACGCCACTACAGAAATACAGTACATCCAAGAGCAGATTCCAGACCTGCGCTTTATATACTATGGCGGTGGAAGCATTCAAAGGTTTTCGAGCTTTGTCCGCGATCCCTCCCAAGATCTATTCTCCCTTACTTTGGGCAGTACAGCGGCGACATCGGCTGGACCAGTAGCAAAGCGCATTATCCAAAGTAAAAGAAGATACGAATTTTCTTTTTAATCATTTTAGTAACTAATTATTTTTGTTGCAGTTCCTCGACGCGTTATTAACCCACGTTGCGGATCAAATTGGTACACAAGTAGCTGGGGCACTGACCAAACAGCCCAATATGTGGGGCCCGGCAAGGTCAACTTTTACAGGGTCTCGGCAAACTATTTCTTTGGAACTGGCGCGAACCGGTATTTGACCATTCAGTCCCAAAACGGAGGAAGTTACACGATATGTACTTCCCGCACATACTCCTGGCCGCAACAGAACTCGACCACTAGCTCTACAGCTACGTCAATAGATCAGAGTTGCTCGCAAATAAGCGGAAGTAGTTATAGCTACGATCTGTCAAGCGCCTGTAATGGCTACTACACTATCACCCAGTGTCCAGACTTGTATTTGTCGGTCCAGGCTACCTCAAATACCACATCCTGCACACAGGATGCCTGTCAGACCCCTGACCAATGGCGTTATATTATGTCAATGGTAAACATGGGATGCTACAGCGGAGTCTCGGGCCTAGCAGCCAGCCTCCTTACAATTCTTCTCGCCTTGTTGGTTCACAGGCTGGTTCAGTGATCGGTGGCTAGTGTATGGTAGTATTAGTGGTTACCTTACCTTACCTTCCCGTCCCCCAATACAAACAATTATTTGTCCTTTACTATAATCTTATATTTTTTCGTAAATAAGTTGTATGTCCCAGTGAAACAGTCGTGAATAAATTTCCCCACTATAACTACACTGGCTCCTTTTATTTAGTTCAAAGAGTGGTTCCCGATAGACTCTTCATGTGAATAAAAGACAAAAAACACTAAAATTGACATTCATTTTACCTTCTAGAAATTATTGATTACTTTCCGTCTCAACAATGGTCTGATATATCCAATCTAACTACAGTAATGGCTGATATATATGTATTTGTCGACACTTACTGGCCATATAGCTGGGTAGTTGATTACGTTGCGTAAGTACGGGAACGTTAGTAAAGAAATTGATAAAAAATAATGCTACTTTTTACAGTTATGTCCTTCAGGATCTTAACATTCATCCGTGCGCCAGTAAAGTAACCCTTTTCGCAGCTTCTGATGGGACAGCTATCGTTAATACCACCGACTACATTATCAACGTCTACCAGGAATGGAATTCCACATCACACTCTTGGCGTAAGAACGTAATTAAATGATTGACATCTGACTTAAGTATATATTACAGATCCAACTGGTTTTAATCTGCCGCTGATCCTAAACACTTTAAGCGTTAGAGTTGAAGACTTGCTCGAAGCAGATCGGGCTACCGACAATCTTGGGGGTCGATCACTAATTGCGCTTCTCATACCAAGCCCACTATCCTATGTAGACGAGAAAGACTACGACTATTGTCAGCGATATATGGAGCGATTGCGTTGGCGTCTGCCCAATTTACACTTCATTTACTACGGTGGTGGGGCTTTGGTAAGGTTTCATGATTTCGTTCGAGACCCGAGCAAAGATTTGTTTCTTTTAAACACCGAAAAGCCACCCGAAAGCTGTGGTGACCCCGTTATTACACGGATTCGGCAAGGTAAAATTTCTAATGCATTTATAAAATAATTCAAATTTACAAAAACTTGTATTACAGTGCCGCGTCGAATTTCAAATCCACGCTGTTATGCAAACGGTGTCATTAGTGAGTTTGGATCCAACTCTCTTCAACAATTTGGTCGTCTGGGCAGTATAAATTTCTATAGATTGGATTCCCTTTATCTACCAGCTAGACAAAGCATGCGATACCTTAAGATCTCCCCCATAAGTCAAATTACATTTACTGTTTGCATGTCTCGGAGTATCGAACGACCATTTAGAAACATGAGTGCGCCATTAAGGGCGGAGGAGACCTGCGAGTCTACAGCATTGGGCTCATATAGTTATGATCTTACTGACGCTTGCGTTGGATATGAATTTGAGCCTTGTCCTCCATTATTTTTTTCAGTGCAGGCACAAGGTTTTGGTGAAGTTTCGTGTACAATTGAGGCTTGTCAAACACCAGATGAGGCGCAGTACAGTGTGAGTTTAAATAATCTGGGCTGTAACGATGCCACCGTCATAATCGTTAATATGGGTTTAGCTGCTCCATTTCTTCTTATATCCCTATCTTCTATTTATTTATAAGTTCCTACTTCTGTATATTATTTATACCCTAGCAGAGGGGTATTATTATTTTGGTCACAAGTTTTCATCGTAGTAAAGTCTTTTAGGAAGTATATTCATTATATATCGCAACAGATGAGTTGATGTAGTCATGTCTTTCTGTTCGTCTCTTTCATCATTTAGCAAATAAAGCAAGTAAATATTTTATTTAACTAGTTTAAACAAAAATATTATTTCTGGAATGACCACAAGAAAAAGGTTGGGAAGTCATAATGCATAATGCATAATGAAGCATTAAAAGGTTTATTATACCCTTGCAGAGGGTATTATGATTTCAGTCAGAAGTTTGCAACGCAGTGAAGGAGACGTTTCCGACCCCATAAAGTATATATATTCTTGATCAGCATCACTAGACGAGTCGATCTAGCCATGTCCGTCTGTCCGTCTGTCCGTCCGTCTGTCCGTCCGTCTGTCCGTCCGTCTGTCCGTCCGTCTGTCCGTCCGTTTCTACGCAAACTAGTCTCTCAGTTTTTGAGCTATCGGGATGAAACTTTCCCAAAAGTCTTCTTTCTATTGCAGGTAGTATATATGTCGGAACCGACCGGATCGGACAACTATATCTTATAGCTCCCATAGGAAGGATCGGAAAAGAAAACGTTAAAAAAATTCTAGCTTCGGTGTTTTTTGAAATATTACCTTCTACTTTTGGGGATGTTATTTTTTAAATATTTCTGAATTTCGAATTAATTATTTAAAAAATCGGACTACTATATCATATAGCTGCCATAGGAACGATCGGAAAATTAATGGAAAAGTAATAGGAAATAAATTCTAGCTTCTTTGGTTTTTATTGTATTATCTTCTACTCTGGGATATGACTCTTTTTAAATATTTCCGAATTTCAATTTTAATTTGATCAAAATCGGACGACTATATCATATAGCGGCCATAGGAACGATCGGAAAATTAATGAGAAATATTAGAAAATTGAACATTTTTGCGAATTGTTAATTAATAGGAATGATCTGCAAGGGTATATAAGCTTCGGCTGGCCGAAGCTAGCTTCCTTTCTTGTTTGTAACTAATTTTACTCAATATGACTATGGCATCAAAAATCTAGTAACTTTGCGATTTTTTCTATAAAAACGGGTTGGATGGATTTAATTCAAACCAATTGTATATTATAAAGTGTCATTTAAATAAAATCCACTAATTTTTAAAGCCGATACTATCGGCTAATATATCGGTGGCAAAGCGAATTCTGGAACACTATTAAAAAAAGAGTTTTGCGGTGACCACTGTATCTCTTCCAAAAATTTTCGGATTTCCATTCTGCTTTTACATTTAGCTTAAGAAAAGAAAAAACCCGCCTTCTGGGGGCGGGTTTTTATGCAGAAAAGTATGCGACAAATTTGAAAACGATCGATTGAGCCGTTTAGAAATGCCAATGACCACGGACTTTCAAAACGTGGTTTCGATAAAAACGCAGGATGCACTTACGTACCTAAAGTCTTAGAGGTTTGCCTTGGTTATCATCTGTGATTTTTTAAAAATTTTTTGGTGTCCATTTGTGGGCGCTAGGCATTTTTGAAGTTAAGAACTTAAAAAATGTTCTCAAACTTCAAATTAGTATATCTTGAGAACGGCTTAGAAGAACAACGTGCAACTTAACACGTTTTTAAATGTGCACTGGCGGAGTTAGATTTTGAAGAAAATCTAAAATTTCATATGCGCAGTTGAGAAAAAATGTTAAATTTCTTATTATTTCACATTAATTTTTCGATCGTTCCTATCACAGCTATATGATATAGTAGTTCGATCTTTTAAAAATCCGATTTAAAAAACAAAAAAACCGAAATTCAGAAATATATAAAAAAAAAATATTCCCAAGAGTAGAAGGTAAAATTTCAAAAAACACCGGAGCTAGAATTTTTTTACGTTTTTTTTTTTATGGGAGCTATAAGCTATAGTTGTCCGATCCGGTTGGTTCCGACATATATACTACCTGCAATAGAAATACGACTTTTACGAAAGTTTCATCCCGATAGCTTTAAAACTGAGAGACTAGTTTGCGTAGAAACGGGCGGACAGACGGACAGACGGACGGACAGACGGACAGAGGGACATGGCTAGATTGACTCGTCTAGTGATGCTTATCAAGAAACGTCGGAAACGTCTCCTTCACTGCGTTGCAAACTTCTGACTGAAATCATAATACCCTCTGCAAGGGTATAAAAACGTGAATGATCAGGGAAACCAGAATAATTGAAGTAAGTTTTGCAAGCACTGGAAGCCACTTATTGCGCAATGCATTCAAAACTATGAACAGCTTGAATGAAGTTTTTGACATGTAAGCAGTGCATAAGAGGGTTCGTGTCTTGGCTATACCGCTTCAACTGCTTATTGGAAAAGTGTAGGATTTAGCTAAGACTCGAACCGTGCCCTCAAGTTTTTAATATGCGCCATCTAGCAGATTGGTAAAACAACTACAGCAGTTCTCAGGTTGGCCGCCAGACGGTCTTATTTTACACACGTATTCTACATATGTTAAAACAAAACGCCACCTGCCGTATGTAGAAAATAGTGTAAAATTGCGCCACCCTGTGTTTTCAAATTTTAGCTGCACAAATCGGCCTGTGTTTTAAAATTGCTTAGCAGCACGAGTCGCCCTTTTTTTTCACCCCCAGAAGCCGGAAATCGGAAATGACCGGAAATGATCGAAAATAAGCCGGAATCGATAAATACCGGCATTTTAAACCGGAAAAGGTCGGTCCTTTTGGAGTCACATCGTCAATGGCTTCCAGGAGGTCGGCGGCCGCCTGTTTGTCCCTCTGGCTATTGCCCAGGTACCTGCGGTTCCCGGTCTGGCTGACGAGCAGCAGCTGCTCCTTCTTCGCCGTGGCCAGGCTGATGTGGCGCGAACTCTGGAGGTGCCTTTCGAAGGCCTGCTTGCTCGTTGTGGAGTACTTGCGCAAGATGCACTGGGACTCCTTTCGTTCGACGTTGCCCTGAAGCCGCCTCTTGTGCAGGAGCGTTTCCTGGTGCCTCTTCATGCTGTTTAAGCCGGCGATCCATATGTTTCACACCTTGCAGTGGAAACGCTCCTTGCCAAGGTGGACCGACAGGTGCACGTCGACGCTTGTCCGTACGGACGTGTACGGACAGAAGGGGCACTTCCATTCGTACTTCGAGACTTGCTCCACAGTGTTAAACCCACAGGTGTGCTCCTGCAAGTCGCTGATGCGTGTGTACCAGGGCCAGGGCGGACGAAAGTTGGCTCTCCTTGTCGGATCCCGAGTCTCCGATGATGGCGTCCAGCTGCTCTTCAGCTGCTCCCTTTTAGGCGGGAGCGAGGGTGGAGTCTGGCATTGCCTGATCAGCGAGGCGACGTCCTGGGCACTGTTGTTGATGGAGTGGCACTCGAATATGATTAACCTGCCGAAAAACGCATCCATGTTTTTGTTCCTATGGGGGTATATACGATATAGACGTTTTCAAACTTCAACTGCGTACACATGTTTTAGGATGACTGAAAGTTTTAAGTCGCTCGCAAACGGTATTGAAGCAGACATACAGACGGACAAACGGTCAGACGGACATGGCTATATCGACTTC